ATTTTTCATCAATACAACCAGATGATGCCGTTCCTAATTACTTACGGGTTGGTTTTTCGCGAGATTCGGTAGTCCGGCGAGAGATGGGCAAACATGCGGGTTTTTAGTTTGTTACGCTCGTCATCCACCTGCAGAAACCATCGACCCCAAATCTCGAATAAACACACATATAGAAAACCTCTGGGGCACATCCAGGGTTGCAAAAAAACCCGAAAAAAATGCTCAGTTGGATAAATTCCTTCCGAAGATTTTAAGCGATTTCCATGCGATTAGTTTGTATTTTTGTCACCTGTCTGCAATTTATTCTGCACAGTTTTGACGTTTTCATTCGGAATCAACATCAATGTGAACCCTTCTCATCTTTTTGTCAAGTGCGCGGCAACTGCGAATTGGAAAATCCGTCGATCGATATTCGCAGAACGAAATTGCAGAACGGTGAGGAGTAAACTGCGAACTTCGGGAATGTGCGCATCATTGAATGAACCTGGACAATAGATACCAGACAAATTTCCGCATGTTCATTCTGGTACCCAATTAAGACTGAGCCTTGGAGGGGATCGAAATCAGTCTTTTGTCGACATAAGATGCCTTTGAATTTCAATATATATGGGGGTGGGTGGGCTTTTTACGATCAATTTTCTCTTTTGTGAGCCAGAGATATCTCAGTGGTTAAGGCGCAAACTTACTGATTCTTGTGTGGGCTCTCGGGAAGGTCACAGTCCTGAAGATTATTTCAGAATACCTAAAACATCGATCGGACTGTCTTGGATCGAGTTCAAACAGTGCCCTTCAAAATATACTGCAAGATGGCCATGAACCAAGGTCAGCAAGTCGTGCCCTTTAGAATATAGCGCGGGGCCGGTGTACTTGCACACTCTCGATTGGTTGCAATGAAGCTGTTGTGTTTCTTGTCGGCGAGTCTTTTTCCGGCACTGGAGCGGAGAAAGCATCAGTCTAAACACTGGTACGTTTTGAATAGCAGCTAATGCATATCGCTCGGAGGTCACTTTGAAGTTGTCCCTATTTTGGATCCCTCATGGAGGCTTATCGGGAGATGCTCATGTCACCGGATTTGGAAGACGAGTGCGTTGCTGACTCTTTGATCGTCACCGATTCCATCCATATTTAACAATAACCTGTTAAGTACACGGAAACAGCGGAAGTTGCGGATGGATAGGTCACTGCCGGCTTCCTGGGAGATTCGGTAGTCCGGCGAGAGATGGGCAAACATGCGGGTTTTTAGTTTGTTACGCTCGTCATCCACCTGCAGAAACCATCGACCCCAAATCTCGAATAAACACACTTGGCAGTCCACTGGCTGTATTTAAGCACCAATTTATCAGCTCCCGCCTCCAATGCGCGCTACCTACCCCACCTCCCCAAATCATCGGCAAACGAAACTGTGGCAGCCATAACCACTGTACGACAAGTACGCGGTTCTGATAGCTGATGATGGTGTTGTTTCGATGCCCCTCAACTGACCTCATCGGCTTGAAATAATGCGATCCCAGAGGGTTCCGATAGCCGTGAAACGCGGGGCTTGTGGTCTGACTAGGTCTGTGCAACCACATGCGAGGCCTGGTAACATGTCTCCTTGATTCCATTCGCCAAAGCAGCACTAAGATGAAGGTTGCGGCCTGTCTCAAATTGTTCCGATCAGTTGCGAAAACACAAAACATTCCACATTGATAGATTACAGATCCGGCTTCACCTAGAGCCGCCTTAACAGTACGATGAAAGCGTGAACACGTTCGCTTGAGTGACCCGTCTGAGTGGTGTGTTTGGCGATCGATGACTTCCACTTCTATCTGGGTGCTAGTGGAGTTGGCTCGTGCCACAACAGGACCCACTACGTCAATCGGTTCTGTCGACATTGGGGTCAACGCAATTGTACAAACGAAATTGTAGATGATGTTCGACGGGAAATTACCAATCACAAACTCTAAGACCTATTTTGAAACACCCCCGGGCGCAACTGAGCTTTTCGGTACCTAACTGCCGTGCCACCAGAAGAAAGCTCGAGGGCTGGGATACTGCTAGGTTGCTCAAGCTTAGACAGGGGAAGTCGGGTTCGAACCACGGACCTTCTGGTCCGTGATCTAACCACTGAGACATCTCGTGTACTAAAGTTATTTCAGATGTGATCGTCCTTAAATTGTAGACGCACCTCAGCCCCCCTTTCTAGCTGTAAATTACGTTAGCTACTAAGGCAAAGGGTCAAAATACGTTAAGAAATGTACCGGTTCGAGCTGAAAATTACTTCGTTTCCAAGATTGTTTATTACGGACTGGTGGATATTGGGTTTCCTTACAAACCGCTTCATCAGGAAGATGAAGCGGTGTTTAGGTGTGAGCTTACTGACTGGAAGGTCCCTAGTTCGAACCCAACTTCGGCTTCATTGGATCAGCTCTGTCTATCTCTTGTGGTACACAAACGAATCCAAGCAGTTTCGCCAAAATTTCACGCTATCCAACGTGTTCAAAGTCGACGATACACCAGGCAAGCTCATGCCCCATCCCGAAGGTCGTTTTATCCTCGGAGGGTGATCTACCCGATTGTGGAAATAGCCAACGCTTGGATGTGTTGTTTGGCCACCTTCTAACCTTCGTGCTTTCCATGAGTTGAATAGAAATGACCTACAATACTGTTTTCGAACAATTAGGGGACACAACACACGCACACAGACAGACGATCTGGCATGGATCGTTAGCTTCATACATTTAATGATATGATCGAACGACAGTGTTCTACTCAACTACGGCTGTTTATGCGCGCGGCTCTCCACACATTCGGGTTGTCATGCCAACACGGCACTGGAGCACACGAATGAATCGTTCGTTCCACCCGTTCATGACCTGAGTCTTCGACAACTACCATTCGACAACATCCGTTTCCTCAGCTCGTTTCCATGTGCTTATCATTCCAACTAGACAGCAGTCTCCGCGACAATCGATTGTTGAAACACAACAGTACCGATAACTGTGTGTCGAGATGATGTCAATTCGGAATGCGTGCACCGATTTAGGTCAGTGTGAAACGAAGCTATAGCTTGCCTTGTAGCTACTTGTTTACTGGTCCGATCCAGCCAACTGGTGGTCAGTCGCTCAGTTAGTAGTAGAAATCGGCGAGCTTTGCTTTCGATGGTGCGTGATTTTCCATCCGTTTTTTTGTTGCACACTGAAACTCGATGTCTTAAATTGCACAAGGTCCAAGCTTTAGAAAAGTTAAACGTTCTGGTATGGTGTTTCACGTTTTTTCTAATGACGCCTCCTCTTCTGTGTATTGTCCTTGTTTTACTTATTCGTAGCTATGCGCGCACCTCCACAGCCTTCCTTTCTTATGAATATCTCGCATAGTTGCCAGTGTTCTCTTCGGACGAGAACAACTATGGTTAAAGTTCGAAAGATCCCCGAGGATGTGGCACCACCAGGGGATTGTCTCCTGGACGTCTCTCAGAGTTTACCTTTGCATTACTCTCGTTTGAACATCCGTCCTGCTGGAGGCATGATTCTAGTGGGTCTATGCAAAAGAAAGAGCGAAGCACTGGACCCGGGTTTCCCCCCTCCATTAAAGCTCATCAACAACGCTTCTCGTCGAAGACGGTCTCTTTCCACGGAGTGGTTACCGTTGTAGCCAAATCTTTGAGTGAGAGGGGCAGTGCTTGTGTTGTCTCGTCAATTGGCGAAAGAGAAGAGTTTTGATGGGAGACTCTCCTGATACCCAGCTGAATCTCTCGTTTATGATGGGTTCAAGTGGAACATAAGGTTGACGGAAACTCGGGGACTGCGCCCACCTGATGGGCTCTAAGAAGGGCGAAACCGGTCGTGGAATGTCGAAGAACTTTCAGTAACCTTATGAGTAGTGTATTAGGCCTGTGCATGTATCGCGATATCTCGAACATCGTACCAACTGAAACATGAGCCGGCCCAGTTGAGCACATTCAGTTGTTCAAAAAACAGCATAAACTAGGGATCCACCTGGGTCCCAGGCGGGTCTCTCACAAGACAACATTTCTTTGTAATTGCGTGTATTTCGCTAATTTCGTGCAATCTGGATTTAGGTAGAGCTTGAGGTTGACGGAAACTCGGGAACTGCGCGTACCTGATAAGCGGAACCGGCCGTGGAGTAGTATGTTACGTCTATAAAAATAATAACAGTTCCGCTATAGCACACTTTCGGTGCGTGACCACCATGCCACCAGAAGGAAGCACGAGGGCTGGGATACTGCCAGGTTGCCCAAGCCTAGACAGTGGAGGTCAAGAGGCAGAGGTCGGATTCGAACCTCGGACCTTCGGATCATTAAATTGGCATTTTAACCACTGCGCCATCTCGAGCTCCATACGCAATATGATCTGACCTGAATAGGTTAGTTTCTTTTTATTGAGACTGGTCGAGAATGACGAACAGTTCCGTCACTTTTTACGTCCGCTTTAAAGTCGCTTTTCGGCGTTGTGTTACTGTTGTCATTGTACTATCTCCTTTGAAACGAGCTCTATGTGAATCGGCTGTTTAGACGCAAGGTCATGCTTCCTGCGTTTGTTCCAATAAAGTGCGAAGAACGCGCTTTTTAACTGAAAATGCTTCGTGAATAGTCCGGATCAATGCAATCTGGTGTGCCCCCATAAACCACGTTTTTACACGTCCTGTCTGTAGAAAGCTTTCCGTAGACACTACGTTTGACAGATGCATCAGAATCAAGGTGTCCACATGTGCTCAGGGATCATTGGCTTCCTCCTCATGTGGTACAATACAACTCGAGTGATGAGCACTATTCATAATGTGAATACACTGAAGAATATGTTCCGTGAAAATGATTGGCTAAAATCAGGCCCACCGGCCCAGCCTTGTTGTTGATGAGACAGTATGCAGTACAGCTATCATCTCACCGTACTGTTCAAACTTTCGAAGGGATCCAACTGTTTTGTACAACAATGTTGTGTAAGCATATTCATTGATGAGTGTTCTCTCTTTTTCCGCATCCCTTCCTTTCCCCCAAACAGTCCGACCGAGCAAAACGGTGTGATTGCTTTCGGAGCCCGCGTTCCCACAGCCACCTACCACGGCAATAGGGTATGTGTTGTGTTCACCTCTTTTTGTCAGCACCCTTCTTCGTGTGTGAGTCAGTGCTGATGCTGTGAATAGTAATAATACTGATTGTTCACGACGTCCGATTGCCATGCTGATCGAAGAAGGCGTGATGGCAATGATATTGTGTCAGTCTGGAGCGATTGGAATACCGGGGTTGGGTTCGAGCCACGGACCTTTTGGCAAGTAGGTTCGCTCCGTGACCACAGTGTTCATCCCGATGGTGACAGTCATACAGGAAGCGAATTTTTCTGAGTCTTGTCAACTCATCCATCCGTGCCTGTACGAACAAGAGTTGTGTGTCAATCCACTCAAGCGGTTGAATGAATAGAGCATGGCCGTTACGAGGATCCACTCCTCTCCCATCAACACTGAAACGTATCCTCGACATGGCTGGTGGTTACCGCTAACAGGATGACCGAAAATAGCTCACCGTACCGGTGAATTTTCTATTGTTTGTGGCTATTTTAACGGCTTTTTTACGTATGCCATGAAATTTGTCACCATGTCTCTGCGCTAAGTTGACGGTACAACGTGGCGGCGGTGTATTGATCCTCAGCCCATGTTGCTTAGCTCAGTACGAGTGGGTGTTTTTGGCGCCAAACTGAATGAATCTCGTAGAACATGATTGGACAGCACTCGAGTCGTCATGTGACGAATTTCCGGCCCCTCGTGGCCCAACGGTCATGTGTTCAGTCTGCTAACCGGGAGCTGGGGAGTGGGACTTGCTACTGGAATTTCGTGAGCTGACACACCTGTGTGGATTGGCTTTATTCACTAGACGAAATCTCCACCATGAATTGTCCCATTTGAGGACCGCATGGCGCCTACAACATAATGCATCGATTGTTGTCGTGCGGTCATCTTGGGAAAGCAAACCAAGTGAAGAAACCGTTCAGCGGTAGCACTCTCCCGATGCGTAGCTACTCTGCCATCTGAAGGAAACACCGGGCTGAAATATGATCAGTTTGCCAAGTCCTAGACAGGAGCAGTCGAGGTTGGGTTCGAGCCACGGACCTTCCGTTCAGTAAGTTCCAAGTCAAGAACAGGCTGGTACTTTGAAAGCGAATAGTGTATCAGAACGGGTACCTGAACACTTTGGCGAGTAAATTTCAGCCACCTACGGAGATTACGGATTGCGTGCGATGCACTCCTAACTACTCAAGTCAGGATGAGGGCAGCTGTATCGTCCAACTTTTGAAATGTTCGTTCACAACCAACGCACCTTAAGTGATGGCAAAAAAAGAAAGGCGAATTTTTCATTCTAATCGAATTACCCAGTATTCGGATCATTGCCCGAGTCTGGTGGGAACATCAGATCAGTAATGGTGAAGTTTAGGAAGAAATACCGTGCCCACGATAGATGAGTTGATCACGCTCCATAGGTTGCGATGGCTTGGTCATTTGCTCCGTATGCCTGTCCACCCATCTCCCTGGAGATCCTTTTTCGCACAACCACGCGGACGGTTGAAATCAGCAAGAGCAAAGGGATTAACTGGGCAACGAAGTATGGAAGCCATTACCAGCGTCGCTGGTCATTGCTGTCTCCTTGGATGGGGACCCTGAAACGGGACACATCACTGGTTCGGGACATAGTCAGACATGGCCCACTCGCGCCCTCAACGACGCTCATACAGCCAAGTTGTCATCTGCCCTATCCAACTTTTCCTAGTGGAATGTTCACTAATTCTATTTCTGGATTCGCACATCACTTATAACAGTTTGGGGCGAGATGGCTCAAGTGTTATGAGTGCGAATTTACTGACCGGAAGGTTTGTGGTTCGAACTCGACCTCTGCCTCTCGACTTCACCTGTGTAGGCTTGGGCAACCTGGCAGTATCCTAGCTCTCATTCTTCCTTCGGGTAGCATGGCAGCGGAATGGTGTTACAGCTGAACGACTTATTGATTTTTTTATAACAGCTACTGTTTCCAGTGCCTGGTTATCCACCCCATTATTTTCTCAGATCGTCGGCGAAGAAAACCGTGTAGTCCATAACCATTGTACGTGCTTTTTGAAACGGTCACTGTTGGGGAAGAGACGAGGGAAATAACTTGTGGATTTTTTTTTAGAGATTTGTGCAGTTGGACGTTAGTCCTTTTCGTTTTGTATCTGCTCCTACATCCTGATTTCAAATGAAGCATCATCATCAGCTGTAAGAACCGCGTACTTGTCGTTGTCTCATGAGCGCTACACACTAGCCCTGTTGGAAACTTGGTGTAGGCGTTGTTAACAGTGGGTTTCTTCGGCTTGGTATAGACAGTAAGGTCCGGAAATGTAGGCTGGATCGATGCGACCTTTTCCTCGGAACCGTTTATCACAAATGACGAAGTGTGTCAGCAACTCGCGTAAACAGTGGTGGCTATGTTGATGTATCGGTGTCATTCTACGGAACGGTGGCTCATCTCAATGTCTGGACGTTGCTTCAGGCGGACGGAACAGGGTAGTGAACAGTAGCACTGCCTCCAAGAAAACCGTACCCTCACTTCGAATTCGTACACTTTGCAGGAGCGACATCCCCCCAACCGGATATTCACCTTTTCCCGAAGTAGACTGATTATATGCCATGAGTAAAAAGGCTAGCAATGGCCTGGTGTGAATGACGTGAACTCGAGAGGAAAACTGTGGAGTCATCAGGAGAGTTTTATCCACGGTTGGAAGCGGTCAATGTTCCTAGGTGACTGTTCAAACCGAGTAGAATAACTTTACTTGTTGCTGTGACACCCCTCTCGGTGGCTAGCTGCCATGCTACCCGAAGGAAGCACGAGGGCTGGGATTCTGCCAGGTTGCACAACCGTAAAGAAGGTCAGGAAAGTTGCTGAGGTCAGGTTCGAACCTCGGACCTTGCGGTCAGTAACTTTTCGCCACCGATCTATCTTTCGCTCATAATGTTCACTTAGTTGTGTAGGCAGCTCGTAAACATTCACAGTCAAGGTCAGACGACCACATTGGCTAGACAAACAACAGTAGCATGAGACAAAATAAATGGACCAAGGTCATGTGCGAGATAGCCAAACCCTGGAGCAAGTGTAAACGTGACATGGGAATAGGCGGTATTGCCAAGGCATAGCCGGTCTAGCCACTGGGCCTGCTTGTTTACGCATGTTTAGTAGAGTTCCATACCTCCTCTCATGATGATGACACGATTGCAACCAAACAGACCGATGACCACCGACCAACGGTATCCTCAATAATGTGCGGCAGAAACAACGTATGGGATGCTTCAGGGGCGCAGGTTCCAGGCACACATCATCACCATAAGGTTTGTCTATTTATATATATATATATATATATATATATATATATATATATATAACTGTATTAAAAGCCCTACAGTGAAAAGAAAAATAGTGCGTGAGAGAGGGGACCTAGTGCTGGCCTACACCTCCAACCGCTCACTCAGACAATCTGGAAAGAAACTGACAGCGCGAACGCTGCTGACATCGATTAGCTGCCATTTCTTGTAACCTCTCCAGCCAAGCACAGACGGGGACCCCATCCTGGAGGACGTACAAAACCCAAACTCTTCGTGATCTCTTTGACGCCTTTCTGCCAAGTCATGCGCTGTCCACCTCGCAATTTGCGCCATCCTGAAGGAGGCACGGAGAACAACACTCGTCTCGGTAGACGGTGTTTCGGCATGCGCAGCACATGACCGAGCCATCTTTGTCGATAATGCCGGATGTTTTCTCGGATTGAGGTGCCTGCAGTAAAACCAAATACCTTCTTTCTAATCATTTCATTACTAACACTGAAGCAAGTCCATTGTAAACCGGTAGTCCAGTGGTGAAAAGTGTGTCTGGCCCACTGTGAAGACCTTTACCGCGGGATTCGACCACAGTTGTTCGAATATCCGATTAAAAAATTTACGCCCCTACAGTTTGTTAATTATCAGACTGTCCATGAGAGTGGGTAACTAGTCAGGTAAAACCGTCTGACAGTTCTCCATCGGCAGTCAGTCTGAATGGGATGACAGTTTGGGGGGTTGTTCACCCACCTTGGTAATTGGTTCGCAAACATTGCCTGTGTCGATCAAGAAAACATCGTCGATGTATTATTTTGCGGATGTCTGGTGCTCCCATGTGTGGCTGAGAGTGGTAGTTCACCCAACTGCACACTGACAGCGTTTGCTCGAATAGTGACAAAGTGCTTGCAAACTATCGGTAAGCGAGGCAAGAACAAATAAATCTGTCCGCCCACCGACGCTCGTCCACAGCTATTAGGAGAGCCAGCTCCGAACGTAACGGGACTACATAACAACCAATGGTTTAACCGCTTTTCGTTCAGACAGATTTCATTGGTTGTTCTACACTCGCCCTTGACAAATGAGTTGTATTCTTAGTGTCACTTTTTTTGGCCCGCGTGTACGCGACAGTGATCAATAGATCAGCCGGCTAGCACATTCATTGACTTTCTCCGGTTTGGCCAAGCGTAATAGGCTATCAATCGGCTATCCAGACCGGGGTTCATGGCAATAAGAAGACATTAAGGGACTGTGGTCCACAACAAGTTGGCGACGGGGGTGATATCGTATTTTCAGGTTGAAAAACCTACACGCTTGATTTGACCGCGATGCGATCAAGTGGGGAACAGTATGTGTCAGACGAATTTTCCGCGTGGATAGCCATAGGAGGAGTAATATTTGAGCGAAATCAAATGAGTGCAAAAGTGTATTCGATCGTTAATTTGGTAATTCCTTTAGTCTATATAAATCAACTACTGATAGACACGAGACTCCCCACTGGATGTCGTCTGAACGAGTTGAAATGAAGATAACAATCTCCAAAGCGTGTAGTTCTCTCTCTTGCCAGACCATATTAATGATCTCGAAACCTCTCCACTAAGAGACTGTCCCTCTTGATAGGGAACCAATAGAGCGTAGCTGTCCCCATCCCCTTTGTGAAGAACTTCAGCGGATTCCTCGGGAACTCGAAATGTCTGTTCAGTGATTTAGGTACGAACTTGCTAACCAGGGGAGGCGCATGTCGAACCAAACCCCGTCATCTCGATTGCTCCTGTCTAGCCTTGGGCGACCTGGGCAGCTAATGTATTGGCTGGTAATGTGTACTCATCGACACGTCCTGTTTTCATTGATAAACACAGTAGAAGGGTGTGAACTCCCATCCCCTTGTGCAATGAAGAGATGGACCAAGTGATTAGAGCGCGAATTTACTGACCGGAAGGTCCGTGGTTCGAACCCGACCATTGCCACTCGACTTCCCCTGTCTAGGCTTGGGCAACCTGGCAGTATCCCAGCCTTCGTGCTTCCTTGGGGTGGCATGACAGCTAGGCACCGAAAGGGTGCTACAGCTGAAATACAACATAGGTTTGCTCAAAACTCCTTGGCAGCCTCCTACCGGTTTCGACCTTGATGAGATCCAGTTTTCCCGAGTTTCGATCGATCTCGTATTTTTGGTCGAACACGAAATTGGACTTAATTGGGCAAATACAGTGGTTTGCTAATTATTTTACGGGGGACCCAACTGGCTTGTTAATCCCCCTAAAGGTTGTCCATTCGGCCAGATACCTGAGATATTGAAGTGTGCCTTTCTGAAAAATTAAATATGACGAATATAGCGAATAAACAAGAGGTTCATTTCATCCTTTTGTTGACTTTGGATTAATTCGCAATATTTATTGGTGCTCTCCCATCCCTACAACACCCGATCAGGGAGCAAGTAACAACTGAAGAATCCCGCGCGATTCGCTGCTCCAATCTTCTGAAGGATGACTGTAGAAGAGTGATTTCAGTAGTACCGTTGGAGAAAAGGAGCCACACCACAACTCAGATTCCAAGTTGACCAATCAACTTACGCGAAGACTACTTCGCGACCACCCAATCGCGTTGCAGTTATTAGATGCCGTTTGGAAGTCCTATAAGCGCATGTAGAAGGGGAGGAACTTACTCACTCAACCCTACACTGACGCTTTCACCTCGATTTGTGGTGAAACGTTTACAATCAAACTGTCCAGCTCGGCGAACTTGTTAACAACCAGCTCTATGGTTTATTGATGTGAGCTATGTTCGTCAGTCCGATAAACGATAGTTTGTCCGCTCCGTTACAAATTGAATCGGAAGTTTTGCTGTTGATCATGGTCAGCTGACTTCAATCGGCCTTTGAAGCCTTTGAGGACTTCTGTTTTGCCTGTCGTTGGATCGATATGTATACGTATTCGTTAGCTCCGTTTATCTCACTTAATTGTGGTCTACCCACAGAGTGGATCTTAGATGTGCCGAACATGTCTGGGCGAACGCGAGTATTTGTTGCAATGTCCTGCTCTGTAATGTTGAGGAAGTCACGGTGGACGTACCGCGCAATAATGGCCCATATTCCCTTTTTGATCAAAACACGCGCCAACTTTTTCATAAAGAAAACTACTCACAAGGTCGCTGAAAACGGTCGGGGACTGCGCCACCTAATGAGCCTCGAGAAGGGCGAAATCGGTCGTGGGCTGACGAAGTTTTCAGCAACTCTGTGAGTAGTTTCCTTTGTGAAAAATATACTGAGGTATCTCGAATATCGTGCCAACTGAATCATGAGGCGGCCTGTTTGCAGCACATTCAGTTGTAGAATATCATAAACGAGAGATTCGGTTGAGTCTCTCGTGAAAACCAAATTAAATTTGCAAATGCGTATATGTCCGCGCCAACTTTGTTTGAGTTGTGCGGCGTATGGCATTCCTCCTAGCAGAGTTCCCTCCGAAGTCAGGACAATACCTCATTTCCAGATCATGGCGTGTTGCAGAGGGAAGACGACAAAAGTCCGTGTTTCTGTAACTTGATTTGTTCGATTTCAACTGCGATGACCTGTGAAGTTCTCTCGCACTTGTTGTACAACAAACGTAATACCTTGGCCTCAGGTGGCCTTAGATCTTGAGAGATTGGTTAGCCTTTTTCGAAATCCATTATACACACGTTTCAGAAAGCCATCTGGCGCTAACAGATTATGCACCCTTTATCAAGCTGGTCAGTAGACAAACCGCTATCCTACTCACTCGTAACGCGATCCAGAGGAAAATGCAAAGTGTTAGTTTGTGTAGCTGCTTGCGACCGCACGTTTGATTCACCAGGATGACCTGTCTCGCACCAACCGACAGTACTCTACCTTCGGTCCTCACACAAGAAACAGATTCTCCTAGCATGTCCGATCGTATTTGTCTGAAGTTAATTTTCAATCAATACTTTTGGTGCACGGTTGCTAGATGACTACAGCTGATTCTCAGTGGTCCGGCGTTTGATGACGATCACATTGGCCGGAGCTATGGTTTTATTCCTATAAACCTTCTACTCACAGATAGTCAGTAGTGCGGGAACCGCCCGAATTTTTCGGGCTGATACATTCCATTTGGACGTGTGGTATAAGGGTGACTCATCAGGGATATACCCAGCATTTTAGTTTTAATCCTATGTTATTTTTATACAGAATATAGCTTCTGTTAGTATTGTATATCCCCGAAAAACCAGGGCGAGATACTGTACTATCCCAACCATGTGTTGTTTGTTCTTTTCCCCATAGTTTGTATGCTTTTTTCTTGCAGACTGCCATAGACTACTTCATCTCGTCTCAACACAACCAAGGAATGGGCATTTCCCGTGTGATGTGGAAAGTGATTTCAGACTGTCTGTCGGTAAGTTCATGCTAACCTCACATTGCGTAGCTGAGCGATTGGATGCATATGGTTTCCTAATGACAGCTACAACCGGTGACCAGGAGGGGAACATCCAGGCGCGGTTGAGCTTTTTTCCATTTCAAACGGGTCTGTCCGACAATGAATGGCCTATCCTAATTGATTGGGTGCCAGATTGCCCTAGCCTGGACCGGAGCAGTCGAGATGCTAAGGTGGGGTTCGAACTGCGGTTCGCGCCTTAACCACTGATCTATCTCGCGCTTAACTGGGCACGATTGGTACCGCTACGGTCTGTCTCTGGTAGAACGGTAGGATTTTTTCAACATTGTGGAATGAGTTGAAGCTCTCAGTTTTGTCCTCATCCTCTTATTTTCTATGTGTCTCCCGATCTTCTTCGGTGTGCGAGTTATCAATGAAGTTGTTTGAAAACACGCGCACACACATTCGGTCACATTGATATCTCATGATTCGACAAATATCACGCGTTTCACGTGCAGCGATGGCTACCCAATCAAACAGTCTGGTTGTTTGCATCGATCAACAAGAACCGTGTTCACCGGTACTCAAACTGGGTCGGTCAACGCCTGGAGGGGCTTATCAAAGGACCACTGGTCCCAAATAGGCTGAATGAGAAAGCCTTTCACGTCTTTGCCAGAATGTGGTTTCTATCACTCAATCATATCTACCTTTTTATTTGTAAATCAATCAGTCTTTTAGCTGTAGCACCCTTTCGATGCCTAGCTTCCACGCCAACCAAAAGAAAGCACGAGGGCTGAATAATGCCAAGGTTGCCCAAGCCTAGACAGGGAAAGTCGAGAGGCAGAGGTCGGTTTCGAAC